GTTTTGAGAGATCTATTATATTTTTAGTCCGTAAAGAAAGAGTGTTTTAGCAAATGTCAAAGTTAGCTGAAACTAACTTTCTTTCCGAAATAATATAAATACAGAGATATTGTAATAGTTCCTGGAATAAAGTCAATACAATGATGAATGTCTCTCATGGGCAGCAACCCAGGTGGCATCTCTTCCGGTACGACATCAGCAAACTCCTCAAGCAAGGGTTATCATGCTGCATACTTTTCCTCTACTAATGCACTTAGTATGAAAAATATTATATCTAAGCCACGATTCATCATCCGCTACAGCAACATTTAATATTCTTCTAACGACTAGGGACTCGACCAACGATTCTGAAATTTGGAACTCACGTTCTTCCTTTTACACTATACAAAGATATTGTATATCACTATACAAATATTAAGAAAACCTCAATCTTAATTGTTCCCCATAAATTCCATACAAAAGCGATTAATAATATTATTCGGATTAATCATAGTCACGTAATGTTAAACGAGGAACAAAATTGTCATTCTAAGTAGTTAGGAGAATTTATAATCGACATAATTGTGTGTTATTTAAAGTAGTCAAGATGATAACAAGCAACAAGTCACTAATACTTATATTTTAGATCTTATAAAATTCGAATGCTCTTTGTCCTAAGTATATCAAATCTTCAATCATTTATATTTTTCGTAGGCACTTTTTTTTTTTTTTTTGCACTATCCTTTACTCTTGCAATGTGTGTACAGTGACAAAGAAAGAGAACTCACGGTTAGAGTTGCCTGCCCAGTCAATAGGGGGACCGACGAATTTTCCAATTAAAAAATTGAAGGTCACATGTTCAATTTCAACGACTGCGTGCAAATTACTCTAGATCATCAAGCTTGGAGGATGTTTTAGAGATCTCATATAGGTGCTTGTGCCTATTGGTTATCAAAACCGCATCCATACAAACATCCGTATAAAATGTTTAAGACTTTTTCGGTAATTATTCGCCGATTACACTAATTCATAAGTTTGAGCCCATAATTAGATTATTAAGGAGAAAAGGAAATGGTTCTTTAAGAAGCCTCGTGCAATTCAAGAAGAAAGAAATAAAAGAAAAAAAAATGAAAATGGTTGGCACTTCGAGTAAAACAGACAAGAAAAGAAAAGAGGGAAAGAGGGGATTGTTTACTTAGGTAAACAAAGGTGGTCAAGAAACGGGGTCGTGGTCACGGGTCGTGTCGCAATTGACGTGGAAACGAGGTATGATTGGAATTAATAAATAGCATGGATAATCCGGTGTTGTTGTCCTTGACAAATGAATAAATAATCTCCTAAATTGATCTATTTAAACCATGATAATGTAAGATAAAGTGGGTATGGAGGACCGTCTTCTATAGTTCAAAAGGCTATGTATGCTCGTCATTATGTGGATATAGTCTTACTCGATATATATGAATGTGATCATTTATGTATATCCAAGAGAAATCAAAGATTTGAATATTTCGTATTATTAAAAAAGTATTAAATAAGTAAAAGGGTATGTGATGGCTCATGTCTTGTGGGAGAGAGAGAGAGATGGGTAAGTGAGAGAAGTAGAGGATTTCAGGGAAAGGTATCCGAAAAGTTATAAACATGTTGCATTTGTGCCAATTTTAATTCTAAATTTTTTGTTCTAGTGTCAATTTAGTCCTTCCTGCTAATTTTGGCTTGAAAATCGCTGACGTGGACGTCGATCGTCCTACATTGTATGGTCAGCGCTAACGTGAACAATTTTAGTAATAATTTTTTTAAAATTTTTTATTTATGAAATTTTATATTAATGTTTTCGTTTTTTTTTCCTTCTTTTTTCCTCTTATTTACTCTGTTTTTTTACTATGACCGGTGAGGGTCGTCAAGGCCGCTGGTGAGGGCTGCAATGCCCTCATCCAAATCTGGACGTGGCCATCGTAGGCGCGAGTGAGGCCGCCTTCGAACTGACATTTAGAGTACCCTAGTTTTTTGCAATCGAGTACTCATGGATTGTCAACATTGAGAAATTTTACAAAGAGAGAATACCGGGTTGCGAAGCTGGGGGTTTCTTATAGATGACCTTGAGCTTGGAGGCGGCTTCCGAGAATAGCTACTGCTTCCAATCGCACATGGCTTTCTTCATGGCCTTGTTTGACTCGATGAGTGAGTCCTTCTCGGCCCCAAGGGCCACGATGTACTTCTGTTGGTTCACCGACGGGGAGAGGGCCTGGCAACCCTCACTGGCCATAGTAAAAAACAAAAGAAGAAAAAAAAATCAATAAAAATTCAAAAAAGTAAAATAAAAAATGATCCACGTTAGCACCGGCCGTACCGCGTAGGATGGCCGGCGTCCACATCAGCTTTGCCGGATGGGTTCAATTGGCAAAACGTGAAAATATTTAGGACTCAATTGTACAATTGAAAAATTCATGACTGAATTGGCAAAAGTGCAGTATCTATAACTTTTTTGGTAATTTTCTCAAATTACTGGATAGTGCTGTACCCGTAAACAAATAGGATTTATTATGATCTTTTAATGTTTTTGCGCAAATTCGTTTTGCTTACTCAAAATAAACAAGGTCAAAATCGAGGCAACTCGATTAAAGACACATATTTTTCCCGCATTTAGTAATTGGTTATAAAGCGAATCCAAAGCTAACAAGCCTAGTACTTTCTCAATATAACTTAGAATTTAAAAACATTAAGCCATGGACAAATTCGCAATTCGAAAGTAATCGATATAATAATAAGGCGATTCCTACCGTGTCTAGTACTATCTTAACATAAATTGGAGATATTCTTATACTACTATACTTTAAATTCATGTTATTTTTCCCTAATAGACCAAAATGTTCGACCAAATCTTTGTTAGCTTTCTAATTTTTTTTTTTTGGGTCAATTTTGTTAGTTTTCTATAAAATGCTAGTGTTTGTCGTGCATGATGAGTTGTTCTTTGCGAGGGTGACGGTTTTGTAGGACTCCCATTTTGGCAAAGCATGATTTAATGTTAAAATTATTATTATTAATGATGCTTTTGCTCGTGCTCCTCCTGGCAACCTGCAAGAAAAAAAAACAAAAAATAAAATAAAACAGGGTGCTATTGCTAATTACGAGAATCTCATGTCCTTATCAGAAAGTTTCGGGGAAATTTATGTTCAAACCGCGCTTTCTATCTTTAGGAGCATATGTCCTGTCATATCCACACATATGGTCGAGAACAAGGGTGATTCGCTCGTAAACATCTACGCCATTTTGGGAAGTTCCGGTTTATGTGATTATGGGTTTTTCCTATCTTCATGTTGAGTATTTTTTATTTTTTTTTTGTACAGAAAAAAGAACCGTTATCGATATATATCGCTTTGGAGGATCGGTATTATTGTTTCGCTTTGGGAAAATTACCAAAAAAGTCCTAAACCTTTTGCAATTGTGCCAATTCAGTCCTAAACCTTTTTTTTTTGCCATTTCAGTCCTAAACCTTTTACAATTGTGCTAATTCAGTCCATCCAGGCACTTTTGGCCGGCCGGCGCTGACGTGGACGCCGGCCGGGCCCCGCCGGCTGACGTGGCATTATTTTAATATTTTTTTTCCTTTTTTTTTTCCTTCTTTCCGGCCAGGGGGAGGCTCGCTGGCGAGGTGACCTCGCCGGCCATGGCTAGGCCGACCTCGCCGGCCATGGGCAAGGTCGACCTCGCTCGGCCATGGCGAGGTCGAGCTCGCCGGCCATGGGCGACGGCGAGGTCTCGCCAGATCTAGGCGAGGCCTCACCATCGCCGAGCGAGCTCGGCCTCGCCCATGGCCGGCGACGGCAAGGCCTCGCCCAGATCTGGCGAGACCTCGCCGTCGCCCATGGCCGGCGAGCTCGACCTCGCCATGGCCGGGCGAGGTCACCTCGCCAGCGAGCCTCCCTCTGGCCGGTCCGGCCAAGGGGAAGAAGGAAAAAAAAAAAAGGAAAAAAAATATTAAAATAATGTCACGTCAGCCGGCCGGCGTCCACGTCAACGCCGGCCAGCCAAAAGTGGCCGGATGGACTGAATTGACACAATTGTAAAAGGTTTAGGACTGAAATGGCAAAAAAAAAAAGGTTTAAGACTGAATTGGCACAATTGCAAAAGGTTTAGGACTTTTTTGGTAATCTTCCCGTTTCGCTTTCTTTTAGGCTCTATTTGTTTCGCAAAATATAAGTAATTTGGAAAGTATTTTTCCTAATTATGGCACAATTTCTATTGCTTAGGAAAACGATCTAGGGGAATTTATATCGATTGTCGAAATAATCTATGTCTGCATATTCTTTTACGCGGAAATATTCTTTGTTTCTAAAGCGACGTTTAGTTTTCCGTGAGACGAAGAGAATTGCCCTCCAAATTGCTTCTTACTTGAAAAATAATCTCCAGAAACAATGGATTAATCCTCACAAGGCCTTTGACTATCTGTATTAGATAACATAACATGCCTCTTCTGTAAAATCTTCGAGTGAGAAATCTTAGGCAGTCGCAGAAAAAATGAGGAAAAATTACGTAAGTAGCGATTGATGGTTGCAGGTGACTAAGGTTCCTGTAATTCTCTATCGTTGCCCGGTCATGGTAACGAAAATTCGGTGATAAATAGAACTCCGTCGATCATATTCTTTGTCGCGTGATTCAGATTTCGGGACTTAAATTCTTGGTCATTTCGATGAATCTAACCAGTAACGAGGTGGATACTCGGAGATATCAGAACGCTATTGATTTAATTTGAGCTTACAAAGGAAGCGGCTGTGCTTTTATTGATACAATGAAGATGACACTGTAAGTCTCCTTTTACATAACAAAGATGGTGCTAAAGAAAGAGCACTTTCAAATGCTTTAGTTAACCCTGCTAGAATCAGTCGTTCTCTCTTTTTTTTTTTTTTTTTTGTTTTCCGAGGCGGACAAAGAATAATTAGCTGTTAAAAAACGCATCGGCGAGAAAAAGAATACCATCAGCCGGAGGTCGCGAGCGACGATTGCGTTCCGATTCAGTGTGAAACTCAGTGAAGCACTGAGAAGGCATGGAGGAGAGGATCCCAGGAGCCATTGGCACCACCCGGGAAGTTGTTTTCATAGTGAAGCATCTGCTGCTCAGTGGGCCAAGCACATTCCATGCCCGTTTGATGATCATTTTGAGACATTGCCATGCTCATGGAGCTCACTTTCCAGCTCCTACTCGCCAACAATTCCGCGGAGCATTGATCCGTGTAGGGAGTGCTGATGCTCGTCCCGGCAGCCTCGGAAATTGGCCATGCCTGGGGCGTGAAGATGGTGTCACTGACGGCGCCCTGGTCGAATAGGCCATTTTCCAGGGCTGGGTTCATGTTGGTGTCCCAGGGAACTTCGAAGGATGGCTCGCTAGACCACATAGCAGTGCTTGTGATCGCCGTGCTTTGGCCAGGGTACTGAAATTGGATCTGCGCATGAACTGGCGCGACTTCGTGCCGCTCTTGATGGTCGTAGCTAGTGAAGTGTTCAGGATTTTGTCTCTTGGTCTGGACGGACGCCGAGTTGCTGGGATCACCCTGTGCGGGATTGGCGAGCCTATTAGAGACAGGAGCAGTCGGGGCGGACGAGACGCGGAGCTTGTTCGTGCTGTTCCTGCGAGATGAGTCCTCCATTACTTTCGGCCGGGCGGGCCGGTTGCTCAGGGGTGGAAGCATGTTTGGTGACTTCCCGTCAAACAGCCTCGATTTCAACGCGCCCACAAGCCCTTCCGCCTCGTTCCCATTCCCGCACATCTCGTCGAACGAGAACGGCACCAAGTTATCCGTGATGCAGCTGCCTCTGCTGCCGTTCCCACCACTAGAGTTTGGCTCAGACTCAGGCAGCTCGAAGTTTGTCCGAGCGTTGGCCCCGCGCAAGGCCCTGGCGGCCTCATCATAGGCCCGCGCCGCATCCTCCGCCGTGTCGAAAGTCCCTAGCCAAAGCCTAACCTTTTGCAACGAGTCTTTGATCTCCGCCACCCACCGCCCCGATGGTCTCTGCCTCACTCCGACGAACTTGTGGTGGCCTCGGGACGAGGACTTCTTCCGGCCCCGGAAACTTTCTCCTGGCATACCCTTTTTTTTTTTCCTCGGTCGATCGGAAACCTTCTTTTTATAATCGAACTAGCCCGATTTTCATGGCGATTGATTTTTATAAGAGGCCCTCATGAATCTAGCATCTGCAGGACTTGAGAAATGGACAAGGAGGAACTGGCCAAGCTCTATGCGTTGGATTGATTGTGACATTACCATTGCAGGCTAACGTTGTTCATATCGACCCAAAAGCTAGAATTGAATAAGTACGCAACTGGTTATAATCACAACGTAAGCAGTTTCGAAACGTCTTTACACAATCAGACACAATTTGGCACTTCTTTAATATAATCTGTACGTGTGGACTGGGCAATATTTCCAAAAGTTGAGACACTCGATGTCTCTTTGTGGATTACCTATTCAAAGGAAACTATTTCCGTCCCTATCAATTGGAGACAATCTACGTGACGAATTTTTTGCATTGACAATACATGCGCTGCAAGGTACCAACTGGATTTGCACATACATGTCGGTTTTATTTCCACCACATGCACGGCACGGTATTTCCGTGACGGTAATGGCGTGGGATTGTATCCCGTTTGGAGTGAAATTTCTACTTCTAAACTTCGATTAGTTGAATCTACCGCGACTAATGGAGGCAAAATCAACGGTGGATGGCGAGGTAACGGCACAAATCCGACGAGTGAAGATGTTTACCTTCATTTGGAGCGAGGGCATTCTTATTACTTCGGTAATTCACTGGTTAAACATGAACTCAGTTGAGGTAAGAAGATTGGGTCACAAATTAGGCCCTTAAGACATCAATTTGTCTTCAATTTTCGAATTTGTTAGCACTGATCGAATTGAGTCGTCATATTGTTTCGATTCATGTTAAAAGTTTAAGAATAGGAGCTGCCGATTTTAGACTAAGCTCCTAATTAACATCTGCGTTCCATATAGAATCCTAGCGATGACACGAATTGGGAATTTAGGATGAGAGGATCAAGCAGAGAAAATACCTAGGGCGCTGTCCGTCTTTTAGTCATCATATGTCTTGACGAATTTGGTTAAATCCTAGAGTACAATATCACATCGTTTGTGCAAGGAATTGTTTTCAATTTGTAGAAAACTACGACACTGCAAAGAGAATATGGTTTGATCGATACTCGAGTACAATAGCAATTTCCGCTAGATTTTCTCCCGGGAAAAGCTGATCTTATCCATAAAAAAACCAAGCATCATATCATTCAGAGCGACGAACTAATCGTCCTCTCTTTCGAATTACACAGCTACCTTCTTGTTCATTACAGTCGGTCCTTTTGTACCCAGCATCTTAAACCACAGAATTACCCTCCATACCTCGAGTCCACTACAAAAAAATTACCTCGGTATATTGGAAAAATGTAACATGAAATTGCAACAGTGACAGAAATCTTCTCCTCGAACATCCAACACTCACTATTTCTATGCAAGAGGGACTCAAACTGATGATTCGAGAAGCAAATACAACATAAAGATTATTCAAAGCACCGATCACACGATAAGTCTCACAGACTAAGAAATTTCTTCGCACGGAAAGGTGAAAGGGCGACTAGCATTGGTAATCCCCTTACGCGTTTGGTCGACCGGATAAAAGCCAGGATAGGATATATTTTTATAATGCCTATTTTTCTAGAAACCCTATGCTCCACTCGCCGTCATCTTCATCCCCACACCTTGTGCGCTTTCACCAAAAAAATTTCTCGGGTTTTTTTCCTTCACCGACTCCTCCCGGACCCGTGAATAGAAAAAAAAAATTATCATATCCAACTTTAAATCAAGTAGTCCACCAAACAATGGATAGGATATAAAGAAATCCCAGGATTTCTTATCACTATCATATCCATCTATCCTGTTTAATCAGGACGACCAAACGCATAGCGTTATTATAGGAGTTCCATACTTGGTACACACCCCATAAAATGTCTAATTTGAGTAATAACTACTACCTAGAACGGCATGCCCATCACCACATGACGCAACCCACCACAATGCAAATTTGTAGAATGCGAAAGGATCAACATAGCACAAGGATCAACATAGCACAAGGGTCATCCACAGATTAACCTAGGACCAAGGCTTCTTCATACTGTTTGAGTATGAACAATGCAACTTGTACCACTTGGCCAACTACCTGAGCAACAAGTTTCGTAAAATAGACATAAAATTGGGTAAATTTCGTCCTTTATCACTTACGTTTTTGTGAAGTTTGCAATTAGGTCACTAAATTTTGATTTTAATCACTCAATGCACTAAAGTTTCAGTCGACAACCAAAGCAAATAGCACATTCAAATGAGTAGCAGATATAACAGAAGGCTAACAACAGAAACAACATAATATTCCAAACATTTCTACTGTTCCATAACATATTCTAGACATTTGTCCGCCGTCCCTAAAAATAACTTTCACCGCAAAGTAGTACTTACCAAAATATCAACAAAGGCTGGCAAGTTATGCGTCCCAAAAGGTTTAGGAAGTCCCACACTTAGAAACATCGGCCATTCCATCCTGCAGACTGACCACAATTATATTATCGTGCGCCAGCAAATTGATCTCAATTACCACCTTGGCCGCCTCCCCTCCCCATTCTCCCACCTGACCATCCTTGGCCCCCATCATTTTGGTCTCGGCCTCTCCCAACTGCTCCCATCTGCATCATCCATATTTTCTGACCATCCTTTCTTCCAACCACCGGAACCCTCTCCTCCACCAGAACTCTCAGTTTTCTTCCAACCATCACCACTGGCACCACTTTCCTGTGCAGCCCGGGAGGACCCACCACCCTGTTTGCCCCATGAAGAATCTCCACTTTCTTTATTCGAAGAGCCTCCATTTTTATTCCAAGACCCATCATCAGCATCATCTCTGTTTCCAGACCAACCCTTATTCCAACCGCCAGATCCTTCTCCACCGGAACTCTCAGTTTTCTTCCAACCATCACCATTATTTCCACTTCCCTGCCCAGCCCAGGAGGACCTACCACCTTGTTTGCCCTGTAAAGAATCTCCACTTTCTTTCTTCCAAGAGCTTCCATCTTTATTCCATGGCCCTCCACCAGGGCCATCTTTGTTTCCTGACCATCCCTTCTTCCAACCACCGTACCCTTCTCCTCCACCAGAATTCTCAGTTTTCTTCCCACCATCACCATAGTTTCCACTTCCCTGCCCAGCCCAGGAGGACCCACCACCTTGTTTGCACCATGCGGATTCTCCACTTTCTTTACCAGAAGAGCCTCCAAATTTATTCAATGACCCACCATCAGAATCATATTTGTTTCCAGACCATCCCTTGTTCCAACCACCAGACCCCTCTCCCCCAACAGAAGAGTCAGTTTTCTTCCAACCATCAACATTTTTCCCACTTCCCAAACCACTCCAAGAAGAGCCTCCATCTTGCTTACTATATGAAGAATCTTTATCTGGTTTATTCCAAGCGCTTCCGCTTTTGCTCCATGACTCTCCGGCGGCATTGGAAGCCTTTGGGTTGCTCCACTGGTCCATCTCCTGGCCAGTAGATCCACCTTTATTCAACACATCTGCACCAGAATCTGCATTTCCAGTGTCGCAAGATTCCTTGGACTTTTTCCCGCTGCTCTCAGCGTTGCTTGTGAGTTTTTTCTTTCCCCATGGTGCAGCACTGGAAGAAGATTTATTGAGGCTTCCAATCCTATCATCCCACTTGTCATCCCCAGCTCTTGAAGTGTCTCCCTCTTGTGCATTCCATGAAGCGTTTTGACCTTGATTGTTCCATGAAGACCCTCCAGAAGAAATCTTTGGCTTGTTCCAGCTGTCAGTTTGATCGTTGCCACCAAATTTACCTTTGCTCCATCCACCAGCTCCTGAATACCCCTTCTCTTTCTCCCAGGAGTCCTTGGGTTTAGCCCAGTCACTCTTTGAACCTTCGTTGTTGTTTCCCCAGGAAGATGCAAAGTCAGCTTTCGGTTCCTGATTGCAAGAGTTAACTCCAGCATCATTCCCAGATCCTCTAACCGGCTTACTCAAGGAAGATCCTTCATCTTGTCTATTCCAAGATCCTCCATCAGCACCAAAAGACTTGGGTTTGTTCCAACTGCCTCTTTGATCGCGGCTCTCATATCCACCTTGACCCCAATCCCCAGAAGAATCCACCTTTCCTTTGCCCCAGGATCCCTCTGAGCTTCCCCAACCGCCTGAACCTTTTTCTTTAACCCAAGATGCAGCACCATCACCTGAAGAGAAATATCACAAACTTCCTGAGCAATACCTAATTAAATGATTTTTGACATAATAAAATATGATACGAGGAAAGTCTATAGCGAAAGGAAACCAGACTAGACATACTGAAAATAAGCAGAGGTTCACCTGACATTAGAAACTAGTAATGATTGAGGGTGAAAAGATCTTCGATCTCTACAACAAATTACGAATATTAAAGAAATGTAAATATTATCAAGTTTTTTTACTGTCATTGTTCCCAAATTTACTACAAAAATTTTCATCCATGAAGTTTGCTTGTTACTTATGCGATAAAAATTTAAGGATGTGTATCCAGATAACTAACATTACATAATAAAATATGTATAATAAATTTTATATTGATGAAACCTATTCGAGCATACAAAGAGAAATGGAAATATACCGCAGTGAAAGTAATGCCATGTGGCACACATAAATGATGACAATTTATAAGACAGGATAATCTAGCGATATATAATCAAGCCACTAAATAAACAGGTAGAACGCCTAAAAACTGACTTTGATTTAACCGAGCAAAATAAATCAATCGTACTTAATCATCCAGATTTCAGGAAAAATAAGAAATCAATTTTAAAAATCTCGTCAACTTATTTCATCTATTGTTTCTTCAACTTCAATACGCTTGACCAAACTTCAGTTGTTCTATGCAATCGTCGACTTTATAGTAAACTTTCTTCTTTCTCTTTTATTTCGCACTATCCTTAGTAAAGTAGTGTCTGGTGTTTTGGCTGTTCACTGAATTAAACTCATGATTCTTCATACCTACGTACTGTAAAAAAGTCCCCCATCAAGGTTTTATAACCTATAACAGAAAGTACTCCAATTAGCAGTACATGGAACATCTGCAAAGGCTAAAGAGTAGTTGCAGCATACCTTCATTTTTCCATCCAGATGACGAATCCTGACCATATGATCTTCCTCTTCCAAAACGACCACCACCTCGTTGACCACCTCTTCCTCTTCTCCCACCTGACCCACGACCCCCATCAAATGTTTTCTGCCTCTCCCATGAGTCTTGATTATTCGAATCATCTTTCTTTTCCTTCCCCCAATCTCTGCGCCCTTGATCTCCACCAACAGTTTGAGGTGTACTCCATCTGTCACTTCGGTCCTCATTTCCGTGTTTGTTCCACGAAGACCCTCCAGTTTGCTTACCCCAAGAAGAACTTCCATCCCCTTTTCCCCAAGAACCTCCATCTTCTTTATGTACATCAGCTTGCTTACTCCATGATGAAACCCCGTCTGCTTTATTGCAAGAGATTCCAACATCCTTGGTCCAAGAAGAACCTCCGACCCGTCCAGGCTCATCAGCTAACCTACCCCATGAAGAACCAGCATCTTGTACACCCCAAGAAGAATTCTTGCTATCTCTCTCCCCAGAACCTCCATCTCTTTTAGACTCATCTTGTGATTCAGTCCAAGAAATTCCTTTACTTGTTTTATCCCAAGAACTGTCAGATTGTTTACCCCATGTAGAAGAGCCATCTTTCTCATTCCCACCATCTAATTTACTCCATGAGGAAACTCCATCTTGTTTCTTCCACGAAGAAACCCCTTCATCTCTCTTTAGTGATGAGCCCTCACCAGCTGCGTTCCCAGAACTTCCATCTGCTCTCTTCCAAGAAACTCCAGCTTGTTTGCCCCAATTATCACTTAAATCCTTATTCTTTTCTCCAAAAGCCGCAGCCTCACTAGAGGAATCAAGATGACTTTTTGTCTTGAGGTTCGCACCACCCCAACTTTGAGAATCTTTTGAAGGGTCTTCCGCTTTTCCCAATGATGAACTAGCATCTTGATTATTCCAATTATTCCAAGAAGAACCTCCATCAGTGCTAGAAGCCTTTGGTTTGTTCCAACCGCCTTTATCACAACCAACAGTATTATCCTCCTTCCCTCTTCCCCAGGATTCATCCGAATCCTTCCATGCACTTTTGTTGGTGACATCCCTATCCTTTTCATTCCCAGCTCCAAGTGTTGCACTGCCCCAATTGCCTGCATCATTTTTAGAAGATTCTGCAGCATCTCCAGTTTGTTCCAATCCTTTACCCCAGCTGCCTGATGAACTGCCACCAAAACCACCTTTTGTGCTAGCTTTGTTCCACATGTCATCACCTTTTCCCCACCCACCTATTTGATCATTATTAGAGGCCACTTTATCATCAGATGCAGCTTTACCCCAGGTGGAGTTCTGCTCTGGAGCCACTTTTATCTCCCATCCGTTGTCCTCTACATCTACACAATTGTAAACAAAGGGATACAAGACGGTTCAAACACAACGACATGTACGATAAAACAAAGATCAAACGTATGAAAACATTCCTGACCCTTTTTGGAATCAAAACCTGCAGAGCTGGACGGATCTGCAGAATTATGTTCAGTCAGAACCTGCATAGCCAGACCATTTTTTCTAAGATACTTCAGACATTTGCATTAAAAAAAGGAATGGAAAAGAGAGAAAAACATAAAGTAACAAGAGTAAGTTTACTAACCGGAAATCCTGGGGCAGAAAAACTAGGCCACGAACTCCTAGAATAAAGAAGAGGCAATGAAGGGTTGTCACAATTACCATTATGTGATTAAAGCAAAAAACAATCTCAATCTTTGTGTAGAAGATAGAGTATGTAAGACATCGACAGCTAATAGACCATCTCCCACTGGTAAAATAGTCATGCCACCACATGCACTGCCTCCACTAACAACCCAATACTGGATTAAGACCTGTACTTAGGCATTTGATAGAATAAAAGTTGCACCTATTCTTTGAGATCACTTAGGCAACTGGACTTTATCTGAGCTCTAAATTTCTATGATAGATAGCGAAGTTACAAATATTGCACTCACATTGAGAGGTGCAGAATCAGATATTCTAATCATAGAGCTGATGTTCAGTAACCAAAGAACACTTAGGAGAATACTAATAGCACAAAAAACCAAGAACTGAGGGACAGATTCCAAGCAAAATCATATCAAAGGCCTGCAGTCACAATGTCAAGCAAAATCATATAACTGAAAAACCGGTGAATAAGTAAAGTAGATCTTAGAGGCTACTCTTTAACTCTATGACCAGGCATGTGACTATAGTTGAATTGGTCCACAGAAACACAAACGTCCATGCTGAAGACATTCATTTCAAGCACAAGAGAAAGCAACGGAAGTTCTAAAATTGCAGGGCATATTTCTTGCAAATGGTGGCTTATCTGTTTTCTTTTTTGGTTTGGATATGCATTAAATAAATAGCTACATAACCATGAGAGTACCCCGTAGCAGATGACCCTCCAGTGTTCCAGCCACTGCCACCTGCTGAAGCTCCAGCTCCACCTATCCAATCTACATATATGAAAGAACACAAAATCTTTTATGACACCTAATTTCAATCACTAGGAGCATCTCTTTTATAAGTTGTCCAAAAAACTAAGCCAATAAAGAAATTGAGAAAGGAAAGACATCAAAGCTATTTGTTCAGAGCAGAGCATTAGAGAACAAAGATCAGAGAAAATTTTCAAACCAAATGAATCAGGAGATGCAAATAGAACCTCGTAACACAATGATTCGAAGATGTGATTTAGCAAAACAATACATGAAAAATGAACATTCGTTATATGAACAGTACCAATTGGGTAATCTAAGACATTCACCTGTAGAACATCCCTCGTTTCCAAAAAGATCAAATGGTTTTGAAGTACTGGAATCAGGGTCCACCCTATAAAAACCCACCAAAGTTACATAAGAGCAAAGAATAGGTGCATCTCAGAGTTCGGGAATACTCATAGATCATGGAATATATAAAACCTACCCGTTCGATATAGCAGTGCTTCTTCCACGGAGCTCGGCAAGATGCTCCGATTTAACTGCAGCAATAAGAGGGTATGTGACAATGTCACCATGCTAACTGATCTAATCAGAAGAACAAGTTCAAAATGATAAACAAACCTGTAAGAACTTTTTGTTGAGAGTCAAGCTTCACAGTGATGTCAGAACGCCTTACAGCTATGACACGGCAAAGATATCCCTTCAAAGGGCCAACCCTGATTCTCAATGTTTGCCCAACCGAGAATGGTCCATCTTTATCACCTCGAGTAACTTCACATAGAAGCTAATTACTCAACCACACGAAATGTACGGACAGTTACACTAAGTAGTTAGATACTTACAGTCGTTGCTTTCCCTTGCTTGCCAGGACTTCTTAGGTGACAAAGGGGATTTGGGAGAAGACGGTGAATCATCAAATCCGAAAAAACCCGACTCAGCACCCTGAAAGTCGTAGAGTTTAAAACAGAGAAAAGGAAGGAGAAAACCTCATGTATCAGAAAGGAGCAAAACAAAGACACTCAGCACCTTCAAATATTCAAGAGATTGCAGAAAAAGAGAACCTTTTCAGAGAATGCATTAACTGGAGCTTTCATTTTCTCACAACATTGAGCTTTGCAACAGGTATAACCCCCATTTTCCTCCTCATTCTCATTGCATAAAAAGATAATCCCTCTGTAGATTTGCTTGACAATCCCTTCCTTATCCTGCAAAAGGATGTATCAGAATGCTAAGGTTGAAGTCTGTGCACACATTAATCAATAGTAAAATTAATTAGTCTACAACTGTGTAGAAACTGCTACCAACCTTTGATGGACCTTCCAGCACCCGAACTGAGTCGTTAACTGAAATGGCTTTCTTGTGCTGATCAAATGCTGTAAACTTTCCCTCAAAGGGTCCATTCTTTATATCATGAACACCCACATTTAATACCTTATTTCCCTCTGGGCCCTCTTGAAGGATCTGGCACAATGATAAACCAGTAACAGGAAAATAAGAAATAACAACTGTACATATAAGGTTTAAAAGGTGCATCTATAAAATGAGACAGGGAAAGATATGAAAAGTCTACCTTGTAACTATCATCTTTGTCAAAGCCAACAATAAGACCAAAATCTTTTCCCCTATAAGTGCAATGTATGCAAGTATTCAAATTAAATTTGGAAAAAAGGAGCAATAGATGGAAAGGTAAAGTAAATCCAAGTGATTGACACATAATGGCCAATTATCACTACATAAGTAAACAAAGACTCACCCAAGACTGACAAGTTCATATAGTTCGTATTTCTTTGCAGAATTGGAGCTCGATGAGCCATCTCCTTTTTCACCCCCTTTATCACACTCTACCATTCGCTTTTTCTTTTTATCACCATAAAGCTGTGAAAGCCATTCTACATCTCCAGATTCATTATTCTCAGCAGGCTGAAACTTCAATAATTCCTCTTCTGAAGGCATGACACTCCAAAAGCTTAATGCTTCTAATGACATTCTTTTGTATAAATATCCATCCTTGAGCATCAATCCATCAAGAACCTCAAAATGTTTTCCAGTTTCACGATCGCGCCGATATTGCATGCTAGGACGAAACTCCCTGAACACAAGATGGAAAGATATGTATCATAAACCAGAGCTGATAAACTATGTTGACTAAGTTATCTATCTTACACTTACTCAAGTTCACTTGAGCTGATTAATCTGGGCGCTGGTACAGCGGTTCTCTTATTAGAAACGCCCCCACCCTGGGAAAAGGAAAATATGCTGATCACAAATTATGATTACAAATTCATGAAATAAATCATAATGCCATCAGACTTCACAAAGCAGTAGAAACTTCGTGCTTCAAACAGCCTCCACTAAAACTTTCATGTAAAGCCAGCCATTAGTGGCCAGAATTCTTATAATCAGCAACGAGACAAAGCTTAATGTCTATAAGAATAACATGAAGAACTTATAAAAATGTTCCTTCACATATGATGAGGACGAAAGAACTTGAGATGTCATGCTGTTCTGAAACAAGGCAACTGAGTACAAAAAACCCACAAGAAGTAGCACAACACAATCACAAAGCCACGTCAAGTTACACAATTCAGGATCCAATAACTGATTAAGAATTAACTGAGAGAAAGATATCTACAGGAGAAAAGTATTATCAGAACTAAGTTAAATAATTACAAATTTCTCAGCCATCGCCTGTAAGTCGATTCTGGGGATCAGCTTCACTGTTGCCCTACTTCGCTCATCATTTACCGCAACAACCTACAAGACATAATTTTGAATGAATAAGTAATAGGTACATTCGAGAACCAATAGCAACCTAACCCCTGAAATCATACCTGTGCAAGGTCCCCCTTGTATTTACCATTCTTCACACGGGCCCACATGCCCACAGAGACTTCACTGCGCTTGCTTCTCACAGAGAGCAAGTGGGAAACTTCGTTTCTTGGAACTGGCACTATTCGACTAGTATAGATACTACAGAGGCCCCTACATGACTGTTATAAGAATGGAATGACCATTTACCAGTCATTACCATAAATAAACCTTTGAAAGTAAAATAAAAGAAGTACTGATGACTTCTAAATAGATCAATTAATCAAATAAGTAGATAAAGAATATACGCATTTTCATGTACTAATGGCCAAAAACAAATCAGTTACCTCAATTACATCAGACTGACGGTCTGCTTCGACGTAAATGTAACCTTTGACATGGTCAATAGCAAATGCAGATATAATCTGAATCTTCTTACCCAGTGACATCAAGTCAACAAACTTTTGCATAAGACAAAAGGCTGAATTTCTCTCTCGACCAACCTGAAACATTTAGTCAATGGGAGAAAACCTATTAGGCAGGAAGAACATGAAAAGAAACCAGAAAAGATCGAAAAGTTTGGCTTTATATCACAGAATAAAAGAAAATAAACATCTACCGTGCATTTAACTTTCCAGACCATTGGATCCTTAACAGAAGGCATACCAGAACCTCCATCAACTGAGTCCTTGGCATCATATTCATCAGCAAATCTTACCAACGCCGAACCATCTCTGTAACGTGCTTCCATAATTTTATCGAATTCCTCCTCAAACTGCTCTTCTTTGGGGAAAACTGGAAGGTTATGTGCTTTAAATGAATCGTTCTTGAGATTTTGCACAGCATCAACTTCTTCCATAAAACCTGTTACCACATAATAAACAGCATAATGGACAAAGATAAAGATCAGTCATTTTATAACTCATCATCACACCTCAAGAGGCTTCAAGTTTGCAACCTGTACATGCGCAATTCAACACTGAATGATGCTTACAACGCAACATAAAATCGTCACTTCTTTCTACGGACCACAACTAGTCTTCACTGTTCAATGCCACGAGATTATCCTGAGACTAGTCAGTCTTATGGAATGCAGAGTCATAAACATTAACCACCAGAGCTGACCATGAACCTTTAACAAAACAATATGATCAATTCAACTATGAGTTTGAAAATCAACATCCCCAGAGCATATGAACTAGGAAAGAGAAGATGGAAATTGATTGCATCATGTAAATATGATATCCTGCAAGGTGAAGTTAAAATTGACCATAGATGCTTTGTCTGGGAAGGAGGGGGAGTGAAGAAAATGGACAGCGGGTGAGAAAAATTGTAAAATTTTCGTGGAAAGAAAAGAGAGGGAAAATTTTAAAATCTTATCCTCCCCCCCCCCACATTTTCTCTTATCAAACCTAGCACAAGGGAGAGGAAAAAATCAACTACTCCACAAGCAACTTCAAGTCATGCAATTCTTTGTAATTGTGAGTGCAGATTGTAGGAGAGGACATGAGATGCACACTTATCTTCTCCGACACATCATCAAGCCAAATCTAAGTCAAACAACTAATACAACCGCACTCTAAGCAAAGATAGGTCATTGTCTGAATAGGAGGCACGCCATACAAACATACAAGTATAAACAAAGGAGGAGCTAATTGACTATCAAATTAAAGCTAACTAGAAAAAGATAAAGCAAAGTCTCCACACCGCGGGACTCTAAACAGCATGCATTTTAGCTTTCACTCCAGATGTTTCTAGTCTGTCAAATGCAGGTGTTCCTTCTCCAGCTTCCTATCAACTTTAGAGCAACTAAATTATCTTCCTGAGAAAGGTAAATGGCTCCACCAATTTCAAGGTGACGGTAGTCCTTCGTACAAAGCTTGCAAGCCACTAACAACCCTCATCGCCCTTCTTACATCACCTCACATCATAAAATACCCGGCAAAACTACACGATCGCAACATCTCCACCCTCACCAGCGTTAACCAAAGATGAAGCAATTCAACTTTGAGCCGCTTGGATAGCAGTATTTCAAAGAGAAACCGACATGCAAACACTGTTCATGATCCCCAGTTGCAAGTGGTTCAAAACAGAACTTGCATTAAGCATCAGCAACCAGCAAACCACGCGTTCCCCAAAAAAAAGTTCAAAGAAATAAAAAAAAAACCTCAAAGCCCTCCCCTTACCCTGAAACCCTAGATTTTGACCATTCCAGCATATTCAACCGCATAACCTCAAGTTTCCACAAATTACAGGACACAAGCTCAACATCATCAGCCATCGCCACAACACAACTCGGAATCCGCGACATGTTTAAGCGAGCGCCTACACATACAGCCCGCGGACGGAAAGGAAAACACTGTAAGAAGAATAAAGCATGATAAACCCCCCCCCCCCCCCATCCATTCACCACAATTTCGCCCGAACCCTCCCAGAAGCTCGAGCGCCGGAAATCCATGCCGAAACACGGAAATGCAAAGCTGGAATGCAGACCCAAATGCTGGGCGTCGCAGAGCGAGCAAGCGAGCGAGCTACAAGACCTTCATCGTCGAAGATGCTGTCGTCGCTGGAGTCGTCGCCGCCGCCGATCTCGTCGGCGGCGTCCTCGAAGAACTGGAGGACGCCGCGGTTCCTCCGCTTGCGGCCGCGGCCGCCGCCCGTCTTGTCGTCGTCGTGGCCGGCGGCGGCGGCGGCCTTCCGCTTGCCGGACGATCCTTTCCCGGCGACCTCCTTGGCCTTCTTCCTCGCCATTCTTCACCGCCGGACGCTCTCAGGCAGGGCTTCTGAAGAGAGAGAGAGAGAGAGAGAGTGGCGCTGTAAAAGTGACAAGCGGGTCGGGTTGCACTTTTACCACGCTATCGACTTCTTTGGGACACGTGTCCACGAAAAAAAATTGACACAAATGTCGCCCGAATTTTAGCCCGGCATGCAATTTCGTCCCTCAAATTTTTTTTTGTAAATGTTCGATATCGTCCATGAATTATATATCATTACGTTCAATATTGTTCTTCTTCAATCAATTCGAGTTAACCGGAACTGCCCATTTGGCTTTTAATCTGTAAGCTTAAGCGGTGAACAAAGAAAAAACTAATAACATACTACATTCAATTTGGGCAAAAATTAAAAAGAGTGTAACTCATTACTCTAGCATCCTTTTATCGCGATCTCTTTTATTTTATTTTGTATGACTTTACGAGGGGAGTCTCGTGTGGCATATAAGATATTGCTAGAAAATTATGCGGAGAAAAGCTATCAAAACACCTCTCTCGTTATTTCTTACCAAAATTTTAGAGAACACGTTGGATAAATTAAAAAATTCAGTTCAATTTAGATACTATATTGAACAAATTAAAATTATAGGGATGACATTACACATTGGATCGCAATTCAGGGATTATTTGTGTGATTATCTCCTTTTGTTAATAGAAATATTATACTATTCATTTACGTGTTAAAACATAATCGTACTTAATTGCGAAGACACCTCGCAACATTTTACCGTACCCGTGAAACAAACTTTTGAAGTGCCTCCGATGGAAGAGAGAAACGGGTGGAATCTCCTGTTAAGCTCTTGATTTTTACCCTAATCGTACTTATTCGAGTATTAATTTCTCTTATTGGATTTGATTTGAGGATTTTCATTTATTATATTTCCTTCTAGAGTAACAATCATGTTATAAATGCTAATGTTGACCATACGAACATAGAGTTGTCGCCGCTAAAAATGTATTCAAATCACACTATACTTGGAACGATAATTATCCCGTGCGCGTGGGAGGGCAAATTCCATTTCAATTGCAAATTAGTCTCGTGAGCCCAAGACATCTCACTATTAGCCAATTCTTTTTTTGTAGGGAAAATTATTCGCCAATTCTTTTTTGTAAGGCGGTGGTGAGATAGACTCGACATGACTTGGGGACAAAAACTTGATTCGAACATAAATTAGCAAGTTGGGTTTCGGTCAGGTAGCAATAAATAAGTTGGGGGTGTAAGCGAGTACACTACTAGTAAGTTGCTCGAGTTTGACTCACGGATTACTTGCTCTTGGCTCTCCAACTTTTCGAAATCAAGTCGAGTTCGAGAAGCTCATCATCTAGTCGAGCCTGAGCTTGAAGATACTCAAGTAGCTTGCGAGCCTAATGGAGCGAATATAACTAATATACTATAAATTTGAATCATATATGTACATTGATAAGTATATAGTAAATTTTTCCATTCATGGTGTATTTTGACAATTCAAGCTCAAGTCCGAGTATAATTCGAGTTTTGACTAGAACTTGTTGAATAGTTAAGTCCGCCTCGACCTTGAACTCACTTAGAACTTTATTCGAGTTGAGCTCGCAATTGAAAAACCAAGCTTCGACTCGACCTCTTTAAAGACTTATTTTAGCATTGATTAAATCTCCTGAAAATTTTAGAAATCTATGCATTTGAAATGTGATTTAACAATCGCTAATATATATATATATATATAGCCAATAGTAATATACAAGTGTCGAAACTTACATTCTTAGCAATGACTTTGCCTATTTGCACTCCTGCTTTTGGGTTCACAAGCCAACTCATGGTGCTCGAAGAAAGGGAGGAGTCTACCATTGTGCATGCAATTATCAAACACCAAGTAGATCAATGTCATCATCATATTCCATATAAAAGCAGCACATACATAGAAAAAACATGACCTAAGTTTTCATAGAACACGCTATAGTTGGTAGCGAGATGAACAGACCATACACAGATAAAAACCAAATGAAGAGTAAGAGGTTTGCAAAACATGCTAGTCGTCGCAGCTGAAACATCCTACATTGAAGATAAGCGGGACACCGACAGTCGGGCATATAAGCCTAAACAAGACTGGAGGCAGGACAGTTGGAGCGCACTCCCAAGTGTTCAGTAGCGCTCAAATGAAGATGGGCGCCCTCCCCGGCTTGGACGGTCATAAGGACCCGCCCTGCTTCGGTAGCTCCGATCCTCGTTCCGTGCCGGCCCTCCACTCCCGTACCTGTCACCACCACCTCGTGGGCCGGCATCCCTGTCGTAGCCTCTATCTTTGTTGAAACCGTTCTGAGGATAGCGATCTGAACCACCATATCTGTCACTGGCAAAGCGATCACCAGATGCGTACCTGAGTGATTAGCAGAACACATGTCAACTACAAGTGACGATGTCGGTATCGCATCACAAGCACATCGCCTTATTCGAATTGTTATCCAGACAAAAGGAAGAGCACTTATCGTTGGTATCTAGGGAGATATACCTACACAATATTATATATATATATATATATATATATATATCTATAGAACAAGTAGGAGCTTTGTACTTGGCTCTATACCATTCTGAACAAGTGTGATGAACATGACAAAATAAGTAGAGCTGACCGACTTTTGTTCCAAAAACCAGACGGGAACCACGAAATGCACCTCTCAGTAAACAAAAGTCAAGTTTAACTCCACCCTTTCTATATAGCTGAATGAAAAAGAAAGAAAATTCAAGTACCTGTCGCTAACATAGCGATCACGGCCAGCATGTTTGACATCTCTGCTCTCAAAGCGGTCCCTATCCCCAAAACGGCCTCCATCATAGCGGTCATCAATGAAACGATCACGTTCTCCCCCGAAGCGATCTCCACCACTACCAGCCCCTCCGTAACGAGAATGTGAGGAGAGTGGAGGACCACCCCCACCTCGTCCACCGCCTGCCGAAGGGCAATCACGAGCCCAATGACCGAGGCGCCCACATTTGAAGCATTCATCTTGTCCAGCAGGCCTGTCTCCTCCATAATTTCCCCGACCCCCTGATGAGTAGCCTCCACGATAGGCATGGTCCCCATCATCTGCCATTTTGGGTTGAGCTTTGTTCACTGAGATAATACGGTCACCAAATTCGCGTCCATGCATCTCTCTGATAGCATCCTCCATACCACGTCGATCTGCATAGGTTACAAACCCAAATCCACGAGGACGGCCTGTGTCTCTTTCCAGCATAATCTACAGAAGAACAACATTAGGGAAACTGTGCAAATGAAGCATTTGACAGAAGTCTAGTAATTTGTAAATTGCACCGAAATTAAAACACAAGTTGTACTAGAGCCAAAGCTTGACATCATGGACAAAAAAAATCATATGCAACAGAAAGCTGCTGTGAGATATTTATTCACTTGATTTGGCAGTCACTCATGCTTATATATTACCACAAACATTTAGTACCCTCTAAAAAAACCTAGTCCAAGGTAAGCACAAGACAAAATAATAATCTCCAAAGAGGGAGGGGAAAGAAGATGGATTAAAGCCCTTACGAAGGCCAAAATCACGATAACAACGAGAGAGAGACAAAATAAATCATCGACTAGCTACCTGGTACCAGAAACATACACTCTATTTTACAAGCAATAAATCCAGAAAAATGTAAAATTCCTTCAGATTCATGAACGGCCAAGTTCAACTACACTGACAAAAAGGAACAGCCTAAATGCAACAGCCCTGAGAGCAGATACAAGAAAAAGGGAGGCAACTTTCCTCATCCACTGCATCAATTTCACAAATAATGAGTCATAATGCTTCTTTATAAACATAGCAAGAATCCAGATAAACACTCAAATCTGGTGTTATTCTAAAGGGATAAACAGACCATACAGAATCTTCACCAAGCATATATAAAGGAGACATGATGGTTAAATGACAAAGGAACAATGTTCACAGGCTAGTCATACGAAAATATCTGAAAGAAAGAGAACAGGTTGAACACGCTCTGTTCATGGTTTCATCAATACCATACTCAAGGATCCTACCTCTTTTGCACTTTATAATAATAACTGAAGTTAGAGATTAACTTATAATTTAATTATGCTTCATAGTTATGTAGGCAGTAAGTAGAGAGCTAATCAGTAATAAAGAAGCTGAACTTACTCGTTTTGTATAACAAGAAAGGCATGACAAGGAGTCAAACAAATGCATTGTATCTAACACAAGACGGTCTGCCATTGCACAGTCCAAAATTAGTTGAAACGGAATTTCGTTCTCAGTACCCCCAAAAGATTGAGAAAGCAATTCTGGCATCAGCCAATCGCGTCATAGACCACACAACTGACAACTTTTGAATGGACTAGAAGTGTCCATTAAATCTGATTTTCTTCATTTTCTCTAGAAGATGATGTTGCCGCCAAGAGACTTAAACTCAAACAGCTCATACCAGCAATGAACACTGTAAAGATCAGACCACGTCAAGGGTTCTGACGGCATCAAATTTCTTAATAGTCCCCTTCAACAGTTAGTGAACAGGCATTACCCACAGAAGAGAAAACTTTACAGCGATCCAGTATTTTTGTCATTGGATACTGTAATTACTCAATGCTAATGGCACATCACGGTATGTTTCCTCAAATTTGTGTTGGAAAATTTGGTTCATAATTCTGCTGCAGTGAAATATCTTGCTTCCAGAAAAGAAAACGGGGAAAGAAAGAGAACAGAGACAGTACTCAAAGGAAAATCTACAATCTCTCAGAATTAGCACACAGATACAACTGTAGGTGTCCACCTCCACATTGCCCTTGTTATATGAAAGTCACTGATCCGCCATCAGAAGATCGCACATCATACCACCAATCTCTTTGGTAGGGTATTCCGAAGTTATACTATGAGGACAGAATGTATCTCGAGAGAGGACAGGAACAAAAGGTTTTTCAGGCCAATCAGCACTTGAAACTGCCAAAAGCTGACCCAATCGAACAAACTCAAATACTAAATCACAAATGGAACCACTCACACTGATAACACAAAATTATGAGAGCTGATCCCTGAGGAAGAGCTGATTCTCCTCTCGGACGGACAAAACAGATCTGATGAGTCTCAATATGGCTATCAAGCAGCTGGATGTAAACCTAACATGGACAGCGGTTGATGAACATATACTGGGTTGCATCAGTAGCCTCATATGCCAGCCCATGCAGAAAGATTTCTTATTAGAACCACAGCCTCTAATTGAGCAATCAAATCATCAGGGTCTAATTTTAAGTTTCCTTATCCATTAAAAGTTTGATATCAAAAGGTCCTACATAAATCTCAATCAACATCAGCATTAGCAATCAATCTTTGATCTCCATGGAACTTAAAATGAATCTTCTCACCATCCCTCCTCAAGGCTGGATAAGCAGAGCCATTTGACTCTGCCTACAACATATTTTCCACGGAGTAACAGATCAAGGAACGGCAACCCTCCTGCTTTACACTGAATACCGAACAGGCAACAAAATAACTGATTCTTTAGATTCTTGGGACACTAAAAAACGGCAGAGGACTTTCTCCAGATAGGTGAGACAACTGTTGATTTACTCTTAATTGAACTGAACTTCCCACGTCCTTTGGTTCTGTACCATTGCTTATATATAAATCAATGGAAAAAGGAAAGAAGGAGCAAATTTGGCCAAAAAGGAAATGGTTGATATCATAAGCCAATCACTCTAGCAGATATCCCAAGCTAGCCTCAAACATATTCCCCTAGCAACCGCGAATCGTTATCAACACATCCTCACCAAAAAGAATGGTTAAAGTCGGTGTATTTCTTTCAGCTGCAAAGTTACAGTTGATAAAATCATACTTCCCCTGCTCGCCTGACATCTCCAAAGATAACATGTGAAAACTTGAAACAGAGATCAGAAGCCCTGAACTACTAAAAGGAGGCAAACGGCATCCAATTTCCACGAAAGGATGATACAGAAAGGCATGGATTCTGAGCCTCTCGTATCAAGTAACTTGTAGGAACCAAGGCATCGTTTCTTCATCTCAAAGAAAAAAAATTGCACTTCCATTGTGCAAAAGCAACTTCGCACTGTCTTTATGCAGAGACTGGGGTAGCAAGCTACCGAGAAACCTCTTCTTCTGCTAAAACGGAACCTTCTATTCACTTTTCAAGTAATTCCCCCAATTCTACATGCTACTCTCATTTCAAATGTATGAGCATCATTAGCCACTGTGCCCAAGTATGGACCCTTTCATGAAGACTCTTTCATGCTTAGTAAAAAATATAGTAATTCCTTCCACAAAGTCACAAACCATCCACTGAGATCTAGAGAAGATTGGATTAGATACATCAGCCATGTCTTAGTTCATTGAACAGCCTTCTGATATACTCTACTACATGAGCCTCCAGAAGATTCTGCAATTAAACTGAGCAATAGGTTCTCTAAACCCATCTACAGCATCTCAAAAAACCAAACCAGCATCCAGCAGCACAAGAAATGAACCATGATTAATATAGTACTAAAGCATTTGAATATAGATATAACCAACAGCCAAACCAGCAGGTCAAAATAACATCAAATCATAATTCAAACAAAAAAAAAACTTTATCTATCAAGATTTTGACCATTTTTCCTTTACTTGTGTCGTGCACCCCACGTTTCCCTCACATAGTCATGCTGTAGAACCATCAGTACAAATGCAATAGCCGTATCATGAAACAAAAGGAGAGAACATCTCACTATAGCCGATGCTCCTGAACCCTTTCATTATTATTTCACATCTTTAGTCTTAAAATGGCCTTTTTGCCAGTTCATCATAAATTTTTGCTATTAACTGGCCTCGTGAATGCACATCTAAATGAAAACATAATTATATCGGAGAGCGGGAAAGGACCAATGGACTCTACTTTCAGTAACATAGACAGAAAACAGGGTAAAACACCAGCATTTCTCTTTTAAGAAACCTACCCAAATTATTCCATTTGAATCGGCACTCCATATTGTAAATTTCCAAAGGCTGCCAGAATTACAAGATTTAGCAAGAACAGGTAGAAAAGTTAAATCCTCCAACAAAATCAGATAAAAAGGACGGATAAACTTTCTAACACACCTTACACTAGGCACTATAAAGCCTGACCAACCGTTGAGAAATGAAACAATTTCTTACGAGAATTGTCCATTTTCTTTATAATAAAAAAACAACAAGATTTTCAGCATACAAAAACCTAATTTACACCCAAGTAGGCCAGGCTAGCTTTCGCACACCCGTCTTCATAAAAATTTTACCCGCGACGGAGCTCAAGTGCTAAAAAATTACACATAAAAAAACCCAACAAATACCAGTCCCCACGTGCCTCACCAATTTACAGTGTCAAACCTAGCTTTCTTCTCCAACAAACGAAAATCATTTCAAACATGAGCAAGAAACAGAATATCGTGGAGTGCCCCAATCTCCAGTCCCTAGATGCATGCCTACCGAGACAAAAAAAACACGAACTTTTGCGAGAGAAAACAGCCTCGACACGCCCGATTTTCCCTCTCGGGAAATCCGAACGGAGGCCTCGAAGCCCAGATAACGATGATTATACCTGAGACTCGATGACCTTGCCGAACCGGCCGAAAGCTCTTTCGAGCTGGCGCTCGGTAATGTCCCACGACAGGCCGCCCACGAACACGCGATAGTCTTCCTTCACCATCTCCGAGCCCCCTCCTCGCCCAATCGCCTGAAGCCCCCAAAAGAAAAAAAAAAAACACCGCACGAAGTGACGAAGAAGAACCCTAAAACGAGGGCCGCGCGCCCCGATTTCGCAGACACGGCAGAACGGAAGAGCGCGAAGTCGCTTCATACCTCCTAGCTAGCTTCTGCTTCTTCTCCTCCTCCTCCTCCTCCTCCTGCTTCTGCTTCTTCTTCTTCCTGGGTGCTTCGCTGGGTCGACGGGGAAACTGCGAAAAGGGGAGAACTTTGGGAAAAACCCTAGCAGAGAGATTTGCGAAGAAACGGGGGGAAGGGCTTCGTCCGTTTCCTTTCCTGCGAGGGTATATATATATCTTCCCCGCAGAGTCCCCCCGACCCAGTGATTCGTTCGGCGTCCCACGTCGGAGGAACCGAACCGTCCTGACGTTTGCATTTTGTCCCGGGGTCACGTGTCCGGTTGCCGAGGCGGGTCGAATCAGGAACTGGACCGGACCGGATAGGGCGGGATCGGTTCTCGGTTTGTGGAACCGGATCTCTTCTTTTTTCTTTTACTTTTTTATTTCTCCTATTCCATGTAACTGATAGTGCAGTAATTTTTTTTAGTTAGGATTTGCTTCGAAGTAATAAAAAGAAATTAAAAAATCTTGATCGATCCATCGGTCCGGTTTTTTATGTGGAATCGGGAACCGGGAACCGGGCCGGTCCCTCCGGGTACCACCCAGAACCGGCCAATTCTGTCTGATTCTCAGATTGGATCGGAACAGATGCACACCCCTAATTTTCAATACTATACAAAACCTTGATTTCACTATATTGCCACTCGAGTATTACCTCGTAATGTCGTAAAAAAATTACATTTCAAGATATTTTGTAGTTAATCATATAAAAAGACACAATGCATGTAATGTTATATCGCTACCGCATTGTATCACATAGAATGTTCGTCACATTTTTTTCGCGACATTATATGCTTCATTGGAGATACTTCAGTAATTGAACCGTTTACTTCTCTTTATTTTGTGATTTTTTATGTTTTATCTCGAATTTGGAATTACAAAAGCGAATTTACTGATGTATCGTGATGAAGCACTCTGGTTTTCACTGGTCTATCAAGTTCCCACGTCACGTGACATCGAGTCATGCAAAGTTTGTATCTCTACATATTATAAGCACATAGCTATTTGGAGCAATCCTCTGTGATTGTTTATGTTGGGTCGATGCCGTGGAAAATTACGGTTGAAAATGCGAAAGCAAACTTCACACTTCGAAGCATACAAGAGACATTCATCATGAATTTCATCGCTTTATCATGCTCAAAATTTTTCATGGGAATTATATGCATATATTGCAGAAAATCTTCTGATGTGAATTGTTGTTGCTGGTGTAGAGAAATCACTTGCAGTGCAGAGAAGCCAAATGACAATTTGAAAGCGAATGTTGGAAGCTAGGACATGGAGTGGACACACAGGCAGAAGGCACATGAAGGAGAGCCTAGGAAGGACCGAGAGGATCAGGAAAGCAAGAGGGAGAGGGCGAGAGGCTGGCAACCCGAAAGAAGGCCTGTGGGCGAACCCTCGGGAAAGTTCAAGTACTGTGTCTGGTACAACAAGCCGGACTATGGTACGAGTTTGAAGGACGTCAAGTCGACGGGCTGGGTGTACAACCAAGGCAGGTCGTGGGGACGATGGCATAAAGTGGAGCGACAACCATGAGAGTTCATCTGCCGATGGCCGGGCCAATATGAGGCTTAGGACTTTTTCATGAACCTAGGGTATGAAGAAGACGTTAGAGTCAATTGGCGGCAACTCTACATCGGTCATCTAGGAAATAAAGCATCGACATGATCCTAGGGCAAGAAGACCCAGCGAACTCTATCTTGATGCAGAGATGAAAGGGCTCGATTGGTTAGGATGACTAAGGCTTGCATCTTCAAGTAAACATAATCGAAACACAATCATCTATCGCCTTTCACCTGAGATGAAGACCGGAAAGGCCGGATAACATGTAACTCGCCTGTAATTAGACGGTTAATCATATAAGGAAGGTGGCCTTCATTTGAAGGCTCTTTATTTCCAAACGAGTCTCGTGAGCTGAGACTCATCATTTCAAAGAATTAATGGTTATCAACGTTTTAGCCTTCCCTTGTAGCTAAACAATCAGACCAACTAAGATATAACAATATACATTACTGTACAAGACAGGGCACGTACCCAAATAACTGCCGCCATATTTACGGTCAGAGACGAGGGTTGGGTTACTTGGGTAAAAGAGGCAGCTTGCTTACACTTGTGCCTCCGCCCCCACCATTAGTCAGTGATTTAGAGCTTGTTTCCTTTCGGACGCTCGAACCGGACTTCGAGAGCTTAGATGTTTTCTTGTTTATCTTGAGCGGAAGAATCTGCAATCGGGGGTTCAGCTCGGTGCCAGAATTTTCTGCAGCTAGCTGATAGCTTTCCACTAGCTCGAGCTGTCGAGCGACTATCTCGGAGCGTCTAGGGAGAAGTTCTACTGGCTCTCCACCAGGAATGACGATGTACTCGATTGCAAGACGGACCTCCTATTATAAAATCAAGAAAGTTAACAGGAAAGATAATGCGAAACAAACCATATTTTCTTCTGCCGTTTAGAAGCAGAAATAAGAGATACGTAGATATAAGACACAATGTCTTTTTGGGGTGCAGCAAATAATTGACCACTCAATGCAAATCTAAGCTAATGACAGTGACCAGATGACGGAAGAACTAAGCTATTAGCGCAAGAGACAGACAAAAATGCAATGTCATCACTTTCTGGAGAATTCTGTCCTTGAAGTTAGGTTATCGTGAGTTGACCATTCTGCCAGGAACAGCAGATATTTGGCCAAGAGCATATTTCTCCAAAGGAATAATTCTTTTGAAACAAATCAAAACATATTAATGACTCGCATCTTTTTTACTTTCTTGGATCTCTTAAAGAATAAGCCGTATTGCATAGAACATGTAATACATATTCCCTGCTGCGAAAGCACGAGCATGTCTAGGCTTTTGCCTAATCTAAGGTAGATGCGTAAAAGGCCAGAGACCTCAAGTTCAGTAAAGAATAATGCATGATGAGCAAAAATTGACCAGAAATTTCTACGTCTCTGTTAAAGTTAATGTGCAAGCATATGTTTAATGTGTCAATGCGGGACATTTTTTTCTTAATCGATACAACACTTGAATGACAGGATCTTTCTTTTTCTTCTTTCAAATAGCAGATGGGATGTTTCTGAATCAAGGCTTCAATCGAATGCTTTATCGTCATTTCCCTATCTGTGGAAGAAGAAAATTTACCTCCAGTGCATCGATCTCCTCAAGGGACGGTTTTCTTGTTGGCGCATCATCTTCAATTTCAACATCCACATAGTTTTTGGCAGGCTGCTTCCATGAATAGCTATATGACTCCATTCCGAGGATCATACGGACTGCCTTGACCATCTGGGCCATGGTATTTGACTGAAATACCAGAGAAATAACATTTTATTTAGAAGCATGCAACAAAAATGTTACTGGAGAAGAGAATGGGTTATTATATACCTTGATAACAAATACCGGCAGCTGGTGAAATTTAGCGACACTACGGATCCAAGGGTTCTCCTTCATTTCAGCACTGCAGGCAAGAATTGCGTCTGCCATGCCAATGTCACCGGTCACATCCATCTCATCTTCAAGCCCCATCACCATGGCCACTTGTAGTAGATCAGCTTCAAGAATCTGGATCACGCCAAAAGTCAAGTATCAATGTTCCAATATCATCAGTGGCACCATAAAATGTTCATATGACTAACTTAAGATCGAAAAAGAGAAAAATACAGATCTGGTATCCGACAGAAGTGCCCTGGTGCAATGGGGTAGAAATGATGAAAATTGTACTGTACCGGAATGATCAGTCAGAATATTTACCTTGTAAGTGTAAACAGAGACTGGCGAGCTTCTCTTTCTTGTAGACCGATCAGTGCTACAACTTTTAGCCTTACTGGAATGATGATCTATATCTTCCTCATCAGACTCTATATCATTACTTAAGCCTGTATTATCAGCCGAACTGTGATCTTCTCTGCTTTCCTCATCAAATGTTGGAGTAGATTTCAGAGGATCATTGGCCTCAAATTGCATACGACGGACTTCAAACAGGGGAGATTTTCCTATACCACAAATGTTTGGAAAATCAAATTGAGAGATATAGTCCTCAAACATGTTGAAAGGTAAATATAATGACAAGCTCCCACTTCAATCTTCAAATTGAGGAGGCATAAGTACCTGCCAGTATAGCATCAACACTCGCATCCAGTCGGTGATGAACGCGGCACTCTGTTTTAGATATAATCTCAATAGCACAAGTAAATGTAGGGGGGCCTTTCCTCTCAAGAATCGTCTTCTGCACTTTCCTTTTCCTTGCTTCCTCATCACCGAGTGTCACACTCTGTTTGAAAGGTGAATTTTCAGGCTTAATCCACCATAGAATCCAAAGGACTATGACTTTAGATGGACCACTTTTCAACTCTCAAGCTAACTAGGAAAATTTTCAAATCTACTTTGGCCTATATCCTTGGAAGACTACGCAGCATTAGAATACAGAAACCTCGAGATACACGGACGCCAACCCACATCAGCAGCCAATGGTGCCAAAAACCACCTTCTCTCTCCCCTATCATGTAGTGGGGATTATGCAGGTTTATATCTGGCTGATAGCCGGGTTTATTTGCCAAGGTGGAATGAAGGAACAGGCAAAGCAATTGGTAGCAGTAGATAACTACAAATAAATTGATAACTGCATCGCACCTCTATGCCGCCGACAAGGATCTGCAAAGAAGGGTTTTTTATTATGTTATCTATTGTCATTCCATGTGCTGTGCCAACAAGTTGAACTCCTCTTTGAGCAATAGTACTGGCAGCTAGCGCTTCAAGTTCAGTTCCAATTTCATCGATTATGATTGTCTCAGGCATGTGATTTTCAACAGCTTCTATCATAACCTGTATAGAAGACA